AAAATCATCAAAAATAAACTAAATTAAATAAATATATTTTACAACTTAGACTGAGATGTAGATGTATCTATATTACAGGAAGACATGCTGGATACTCAGTGCTGCAGCATCGTTCCTGCGATGACATCACTCACGGCACAACTGAGCGGATGACGTCAAGGATTGGGGGGGGTTGGTGAGCAGGATTTGAGAATATGGATGTGGATGCATCTAATCTGGTTTGCAAATTCCTAGCACACAGTTGATGCTGATGGGGCGTGCTCTCTGCGGCCCGAGGCAGCGGCAGATGGTAGTCTGTCATTAGCAGAGGGGGAACTGCAGCCGGCCGTATAGAGAGGTCTATATGTGTTTTAATGCCGATATGTGCACGGGGCATGAAGAAAGTCCAGGGTTGCAGCTGTTTGACCCCTCTGCCCCTTTTATTACAAGCCCAAACCTCTAACACACTAACCCTCTGAAAAGTGGCCATCTGCCACTAGTGCTCAAAGTGAAAGAGCAAGACTCCTTCAATCACGCTCACCCTTAACCAATTCTTTCCACATGCATCTATTCCCCACCACCCTGCTAAGATCTACATCTGTGATCCGCAGCTGATTTGCTGCCAGGGGCAGATGAAGGTATTAGTTTGGACGTGGAGGTGGAAACAGAGACGGCTGACTTTGCTAATCTGGGTCGGGTACAGAACATCCACCTGGCTGAGCCGTGGCTCGCCGGAGCCTTGAATCGGAGAGCAGAAGTAAACACCGCCAGCCGGTCACGTGGGCTGAGAGGCCGGTCAAACTGGAGAGGTAAACAAACTCCTGACCCCGATGCCAGGCGTCTGAGCCGACATGGTAGGTGGGAGGTTTGAAAAGAAAACATGTCCAGGTGTAAAAACCAATCATTGGACAAAGTGGCAGCCATCTGTGCTGTCCAGTTCACTCACTTAGGGCTAATTTGTTTGGGGTACTTGCCCTTGTAAGCCAGTCAGCCAAACTGGATTTCACTGAGAAGGTTAACCAATCAGCAAAGGTGTTTAGCTGGAATGAAAAAAAGGCTGTAGGGTTTGGGACAGAATTCCCAGCAGGACATCCGGACGCATCGAATCACCTTCTCCAGACGGAATCTCTGCCAATAGCCCCTGCGATATTTTACGGGCCCCTGCAGACGGGCAATTAACCCAACTTCAGAGCCTGAGCCTGTTTGTCTTTCAAAAAAAAGAGGATTACAAAAAAAAAAAGAAAAACTTCCTCCAACCTCTCCGTACACAAGACCACGCTCCATTTCCCTCCTGCTCTCCGCCTGTCTTACTTCTGGTAAACGAACAGCCTAATGAGGCAACAGGGCAGCAGAATGCACGTGTCATCCTGCCCCATTATACATGCTTTCACTAGTTTCCTCTCCCTCAAGCAGCAAACCGCTGGAAAAACAACAGTCTACTATAGGTCTCAGTGAGGCAGGCTGCACCAGTGGAGCAGCTCTGCATGCGTACGTGCAACAGTCCACATGTATGTTCTTTCCTTTCCTCCACCCTCTACCATGTCGGCGAAAAGCTTTATTAGAGCAGTTAAAATATTTTCACCCTCTAACGAAACATGAGCTGCAACACATGTCGACAACCACGGATAGAAAAACTAATTATAACAAAAGCTGCTTTGACTCCTTCCTGGCCCCTCCCCCACCAGTTGCTGTGCAAGACTGACAGCTCATAAACATGATCAATACATTCTGATTTTCTGTCATTTAATTACCATAATCAAAAAATATATTTTGAATGTATATCAAATCATGCATCCCAAAGACGACATGCTCCTCTACATGCTAGCACCTAGGAAAGTCCTAGCGTTGATGTTTTCAAAGCAAAGGCAAGTTGAACTCCTCCCAACCAGTAGGTGGCGCCCTATCCCTAATAGCTCTAACATCACGGAACATTTTAGTTCTAAGTTTAAGTAATGTTAATTTTACCATAAAACCATTTAAACAAAACAAAACGTATTGATTGGCGTACTTTTTAAGAGCTTTCACATAGTATTTGTTTTTAGGATTCACTCGCAATGTGCAACTAGTGGGGGTGGGGCAATGCTGATGTTACATTAAGAGGCGCTGCCCGAAAAAAAAACAAACAAAAAAAAACACATTCCGGCCTAAACCAGATCCTGAACCTGGAGGGGAATGGGATAAAGGCTCTTCAGGGAAAAGGGATAAGTTTCCATCTTTCGGGCTTAGCTTGCTGAATTCCACCTTGTTTACCAACGTCACTGACTGTGCAAATATGAAGAACTTAGGCAGCATTTTTCTTGACCGTGTGCTAAAAATGAAGCGTAACCCCTCTCTCTCTCTCTTTACAGAGGGGGTTTGTGGAGAAATAAAAGCTGCTATTCTAAAGGCCAGCAGCCCAGACAAAAAAAACAACAACAACTAATTCAAAGCAACTTTTAGAACCTTTGCAGTCGTGACATAAACCGTGACCTTCAGTTACCTGAGAACAAAACTCCCACCTACTTGTACTGAAGCCTTACATGTCGGGGGTCTACACACCAATCCCCCTCCCCCAAACTCAACCCTGCAAAGTCTCTACGTGCTCACAAGCACTCGCGAGGTCCCCTGGGATGCAGGGGTCAGACCTGTTTACCATTGCCTGCCAACAGCTCTTGTTGGCTCACAGGGATATTCCAGGACAAAGTATTGATTGCAGGACAGTGGGAAAAGTGGGGAGTGGGGGGGGTTGTTGAGGTCAAATTGATAAGCAACATCCAAATGCGTGTCCAAGTGGAAAAACAACAGCCGGAAATAACATTCCAGCTTCTATTCCGGTGACATTCCATTACTGATGTCAAGCCACGCAAAACCTATTAAACACATTTAATGGTGAAACTGAAAAGCTTCTGACGTATTAATTCTGAACGTTTTTTTTCTAATAATCCCGTATCTGCGGTTTCCATTTATCTTCACAAAAATGAACCAAAAAAAATTCCACATCAAGCCCTGGTGAGCATGTGGCTTGCATATTTCTGACATCTGCAGCCGCAAAGCAGCGGCAGTGCTCCTCTGTCATGGCGCTTGTTTACTTCTAAGCTCTGGTCACGTTTCACCACAGCCTTGTGCTGTGTTCACATGCATCAGGGAAAAAGATGGGAGAACAAAGTTCTGTGGGAAGAGTTTCGAGAGGCTGTAAAAAAAAAAAAACACTTTTTTTTGTTTTGCTCTAGTATTTTGCTATTCCTTTAAAGGTTAACATTTAGAAGCAAGTGTAACCACAGATAAGACTTCAGAGCCAATGACGGGCTGCTGAAGGCCCAACCTACTTGTGTACTTTGAAATCCACAGAGCTAATTTGAAGTACAGAGGAAATGCCTCCAGCATTTTTTCCCTCTCTATGTGAACAACAACTAAAAAGCAGCAGATTTTTAGAGCAGCACTTGTTAGATATAAAGACTCAGTTAAACTCTCACAGTTTTGTACCCCTACCCCTTCCCCATATACTTAAATATGTAGGTATATACAGTTTGCATGTAGGTTTGTACTTTCATCGTGACCAGCCAAATCAATACTTACTCCTAGTTTAAGCCGATGGACTCTTATCTGATACCAGACATGACTCAAACCCAAACAACTAATGTTTTCCTGATGGGTAAAAACTGTAAATAACCGAGGTTGGTACTATAGGTCTCCCTGCAGGTGCCTCCATTCATCTAAATACTGGTACAGACACCCTAAATTAAAAAAGTACAAGATACCAAAGCAGCTAGGGATCTAGCATCCTTCATTAATACAGTACTCACCTTTGGCAGTGGTTGCAGCCTCCTTGAATCCCAGACAGACATAAGGTGTGTTGTGTAATCTGTTGACGCCCCCTTTGCAGCTAATGGTGGGTTTAAAGCCAACCAGGTCCCCACATTTCTCCACATCTCTGTTGTCCAGCAGGTTCAAGGCGATATAGTTGAGTCCGTTAGGGTAGCCGGTTGAGCTGTGGCGGTTCACGGGACTGCCGTACTCCTCGTCAGAACCCTCACTGCTGCGTGATGAGATGTTCTCCACCGAGCTGGGCCTCTTCATGGCGTCGCCGCGTGCGAAGGAGGGAAACACCGGGGTGACGGTGGCTGTGGAGGAGAAGGTTTCTGAGCTGTGGCGGCGGCGTCCCTGCGGATTGGCCCGGATGACCTTTGCGGAGCAGTCTGGGTCCACAGTAGAGGAGGTCCCTGTTCCAAGCAGGAAGACCCCGATCCGTTCAGGAACACCTTGGTCCTCAAGGGATACCCTCCTCTCCCTGCAGCTCTGGCTGTTGGAACAACGTTTTAAAAATAACATTAAAATCAACAAACAAACACTGGTGTGTTTTATTTTTCCTTTCAGGAAAATAAGATTCTATCCACTGAGCTATCCATCATAGTGGTGAAATAACCATAGACAATGCTAGAAAAATACATTTCACAGAGGAACATACCTTGAGTTCTGAGGAACAAGCTGTGGGGGGGAGCTAGTCATCCCAAATGTCATCTCAGTGTAGTCATTGTTCACCACATTGTCGTAGCTTCGGGGACTTTTCTCACTTTCTATGTGGTAAACTACATCCTCATCTGAGCCGGGGCATGAGGAATGCTCTGGCAGAGTGACCAGTCGCTCAACAGGAGTGTCAGCCTCTTTGGGTGAGTGTGAACCCAACTCTAGGTTGATGTAGTCTGAAAGGGATGACCTTCCCTGGCCTCCACTGCTGGACCCCAGAGATGAAGACTGACTCTCGGTTGACATGACGGATGGTGGGGAGGATCTGTTGCTGCTGAATTCAATGTTGATGTATTCACCAGGGCTGCGGGGTTCTAAGGGAAGGGGATGCTCATTCATGCTAGGCAGGGTCCTCAGGGTGTCTAGAGATAGCCTGTTGGGTCTCCCCAGCCTCCCTCTGTAAGCCAGACTCTCTGCTCGACGATTCCTGCCTGGGGAGGGAACTGAGGGACTCAGAGGGGACATCTGACCTGCAGATGGCTGCATTACTGAATAATAGTCTGACTCCCCGGCCCTCTGCCTTGAACTCTGTGGGCTCATCAATACATACTGGCCACTGTCTTCATTCTTGGATGACTGAAGTTTTGCAGGCAGTGTGAGGGAGCCCAGCTGGTAAGTTGGCCTTATTGGCGATTGCTCCCCAGTGACCGGGCTTAAGTAGTAATCAGGAGGTGTCTGCAGAGGTGGTGGGTTTCCTGGTGACATGTTCATGTACTCGCCGTGTCTGTCAGGGCTGTCCATGGAGGATTTGGAACCGCACCACATCCTCATGTAGCCATTGTCTTCCAGAGAGCCACTACAGGGAGAGTTGGCCTTGTAACTGCCATTGGAAACTGCCTGTGGATGCACCCTTGGGTTGACAATTTGCTTTGGTGCTGAGACACACATAGGGCTCATGGGTACATAGTTGTCTGCCTTACCAGACTGAGGTGCTACACCCGGTGTCATGGGCATATAACCATCATCACCAAGGTTGCAACTGGAGCTCCGGGATGAACCAATTTCTATGTCGCCGTAATCCTCTGGATAACACACTTTGGGTGAAGCAGATTGGGAGTTTTGTCCATTGGCCAACCTCATCAAAGTGTACTCATCCAAGGAAGCTGAGGACAGTGGGGTCACCACTTTCTGTTGCCGTGGTGTGGTGAGAGAGTGTGTTCGCTTCCTGTATGCCTTGTCAGAAATCTGACCGTCGATCCCAAAACCAGACCTGCTACCATTAGCCATGTCCATTAGCATGTAGCCACAGGGGTCACTCAAGTCACGAGAAGGTGGTGTGCTAGACAGGGAGTCTGGAGTGTCACTTCTAGTCAGAGTAAGAAACTTGGGTTCACCTGGGCTTAAGCTGTAATCATCACAGAGAAGGAAGCCAGTGTCGCTGAGGGAGCCAGATATGGAGGCACTGCAGCTGAAGGGTCTTCTACCTTTGTCTGGTGTTGAGACTCTTGCTCCTCCTCTGGGAGACACACTAATGGGGCTGGAGGCGGCAGGAGGGGAGTTAGATACCGGCATTGAACGACTATGATGGAGATTGGAAGCAGACTCCAACATCCTGCAGGTGCGCCCATTACTGAGGGTGTGGGACCTCATGAGGTGATTCCCAGAACTGGGACTGGAGGGACTTTCAGAAACCGGTATAGAAATCGACACAGGCCTGGTCACGCTCCCATCTCCCTCACTGGCTGTCCTAATGCGACAGGATGTGAACTTCCTCCCTGGTGATGTGGCAGCCATGCTGTCTGTTCTGGATCTCCTAACCAGGCCAGTCTGACTTGGGGGGAGGTTGTTGAGGTTGCGCCGGGAAGGCACAGAAATTGGGTTTGTGCTGGCAGACTGGCTTTTGCTCCTCGGTCTAAACTCAGAGAGCTCCTTCATGGCCTTCATCGCCTCTAAGATGGTCTCATGGATGTTCTGAGCTACCACCGAATCCTCTGCCTGCATCCAAAATTCCCCTGGCCCTGTGACTGCAGATCTGCCCACCTCTATAAAGAAGAAGCTGTCTGAGTGGCCACATCTCCTGATATTCATGAGCTGGAGATTGACTGCTGCTGTTTCAGTGTTCAGCTTGACAAAGCTGATGTTTCGGCTGGATAAACACAGCCTATACACTCCAGTGAGGTTTTTGATCTGACCCAAGCCTCTGGATTTCAAGTTCACCTGCCACACCTCCTTATAGGCTGCTGTTGCAGGGGAAAGTTGTCCATAGGTTGTATCCTCAAAGCCTACTAATGAGGATGTGGAAGCAGGGCTGTCAAACACTTTGCTCTCTGCAATTAAATCACTCAAAACGGTATACCAGCTCTCCTGGTCCTGCTCGTTTTCTGCAGCCACAGCAAAATACTCGTCCTTGGTGTAGAGGGCGATGAGGTACTTGTGTTTGGCGTCGGCGCGTTTATTTACGCACAGACAAGAGTCCAAAGTGATGACGCGCTTGGCGGCGGACTTGTTTCTCCATTTCTTCTCGCTTTCATAATACTCCAGCCGAGCGGGGCTGCGCTCCGTGGGCTCCCGCAGCACAAAAAAGCGCCTGTGTCCATGTTTCTGCTTCCGCAGGTAGCCGCACTTCTTCACGTCACTCGTCCCATTAGATAACAGGTGTCCTCCCGTTGCAGGAGGACTTGCCATTTCTCCAGAATTAATAACAATAATAATAATAATAATAAAAACACTCACTGTTAAAAAAAAAAATACCTTAAGGTAACCCGTTCATTTATTCCACAACTGCCGTGTATGCACGCTGCGGTAAAAGAAAGGGAAAAAAAAACAGCAGTGCTTGTAGATCAGTGACCGCTCTGATGCTGGAGGAAAACAACATGTGACGCTGCTGCTCTAAAAACAGAATAAAACACAGAGCCAGAGGGGGCGGGGCGCCCCGCGAGAGAGACAGAGAAATGTAGACAGCGCTTTGGAGACCTTGTCCCGTAGGAAAGATACGTCAGCACAGCCGCCATATTGTGAGTGGCAAGTTCTCCTTGAAAAAACAAGTTTACTTGTAAAGTTAACCCCGATAGATAGATAGATAGATAGATAGATAGATAGATAGATAGATAGATAGATAGATAGATAGATAGATAGATAGATTTATTTATTTATCACAAGCTCGTAGTCCAAATCACAAACAAATGAGGGAGAATAAAAAGAATGTAGGAAATACAACCAAATGAATCTATCATTTTAATTTAATCTTTTTTTGTCTAGACATTATTTTCAAAACAAGAGACTAAAAGAAAAACCTGTGCTACTTAAGGTTCAGTTAGGGAAGAGGATAAGGGCCACTGGGAAAAAAAAACAAAAAAAAAAACAAGTTAACTGATTTAAAAAATATATTATTTTATTTTAATATGGGTAAAAAGTCAGAATTCTAACTTTTTTCTCAGAATTCTGACGTTTTTCTCAGTATTCTGGATCTTAATGTAGATGGAAACCACGAATGAAGATATGTGGGAGAAAAAATTCAGAATTCTGAGATTAAAGTCAGAATTCTGAGAAAAAAAAAGTCAGAATTCTGTGATTAAAGTCAAATTCTGATTTTAAAAAAGTCAGAATTCTGAAATTTAAGTCTTTTGTATTCAGCTGATACATTTTGATAACAGAAAATATTATTTGATGGAACATGTCGTCCATTTAATGTTTTTTTTTTCCCCTTCATGACCATTGTTTTATATAAAAAAAATCAACACAGCTAGTAACATCCCAATAATATAAGGGAAAATGCCTCTCATAATATGGTGGACCACCCGGATGATCGTGCGGCTTCTACTTCACAGAATCTATAACCTCCGCCTGTCTATCGCCCAGAAGCCCCGGCGCCTATTGGCCAATCCAACCATTCAAAACAGACAAGCCCCGCCCCCTGCTTTCCCATCACTTCGCTTTCGCACGTAGAAACGGTAACAGGAGGATCACCGCCCGGTGTAAACAATCCCCGAAAATACCAGGGTAAAATGAAAGCGAGACGCAGAACAGAAAAACACATTCTAGAGACTTGTTTTGGCATATCTATGAGTCACATGCAAATCTCCCTGATCAACCGTTAAAAAAAACAACCACCCCTGTGTTTTTAAAGTGATTGTGAAATGTTTGGGTGTTATTTAGATTAATGAGGATTGGAAATTTGCAACACAATGCTTTCACAGTGATTACACCCATTAGATTGTAGAGCCAGTGAAACTGTAAACAAAGCTCACGTCCAACTTGTTATATAAGGACTGTTGTGGCCTATTTTTAAACCTGTGGGTATTCCTCTTCATTGGAAACATCATGCTTTCTATTTTCGTCTTCCAACATTCTTCCTCTAATTTAAGCATTAGATTAAAACACTGGTTCAGCGTATTATCTACTTTTTTTACTATATTAAGCTTGCATTTTGCCAGCATCTGTAGAAATAATCCATCTAAATGAGAAACAGCCATCTCACTCTAAAGCAAATGCGTCAGAGGTTTCAGTCTGCAGTAATAGTTTGAAGCAATGCTGCCATCAGATGGCTGAAGGGCTTCATGCCACCTTCCTACTTACAACTTTTCTTACTAGAGGTTCAAGAACAAAGAAAGATAAATTGGCTCTTATAAAGAAAATAAAAAAACTGTGAAATGGTTGCTTGTAGACATCTGTTCTTCAGATTATCCTGGTAATTATGTCAATATTTCTGTCTGTGATCCCCAGGATCATTAAACTGCATCCATGTAGGGATTACTTTTTATATAATCCCCAAACAAACAGATTACACCTCAAACTCCAAGGTGTTAAGAGTGATTTATGGGCGTCTCACGCTTCTGAATAACCAACAACCACATAGATTGACTAGATTAAGACTAATCCTAGTCTTAATCGCTATTGTTCTCGGTTTCATTGTCATTGATTCAAGTTGGGCCCTTCTCTGGATTTTGTTTTGCATTGGAGAAAAGAGCTTAACCTAGCAGCATGTTTTTTGCAAAAGCAAAAACATAAACATTCCTGGCAGGATAGAGAGAGAGAATCACAGACAAAAAAACAAAGAGATTATTTGTGACTAACAACTTAAGGTAAACAGAAATCTAACGTATGACAGTGATTGTTTTCATCAGCCATTCCCAGATACGTTTGTGACTGGCTGGGCCCATTTTAGAAGGGTTTATGGTTTTATTTTATAAATAACTGATTTCAACCTTTAAAATATAGAAAATTTAGGATCTAATGATACATCATCCTTATAAACTAGAGCTAGTGACGGAGTAACACAGGGTTCAATGTGTATATGGTTCCTATTACTAACAATATTTGAAAGAATCAGGAAAAATCCCTTTTATGCTGATGATACTTTGCTATATAAATCTGTAAAACAGTTGAATTAAAGTAGATTCTTATCCTTGTTTGGTTATTACATTTTTAGATTGTTTATGTGGATGTATGTTCATGTATTTCTATTCGATTATATTTTCATGTTATTAACTTGAGAGGCAATTTAAGTTAATTTCCCTTTGGTATTATTAATAAAGTATTTTTTAATTGAATTGAATAAATTCAATTCTATAGCTTACGTGCATTTTTAATTGATGATACACTGTATACAGTATTTTCATCATTTAGTTGCAAATTACATAAAGTAAGAGGTTTTTCTTTGTTCTTAAATATAAAAGACAAATCAAATGATTTGATTATTCAACTTTCAAAATAAAATTAAATTCTGTTTTGCATAGCTTTTTTATAAAGAAATATAAACGTTATTTCCTAAATGCCAGAAGTTTATTTAATTTTTTGTAGCTCCAGACCGATTTTCTTTAGCAGGGATAAGGTAGAAAAATAGAACGGATATCTGCTCATAGCAATAACCTAACACTAACCTCTGGTGGCGAAAAACAAATCTCCAAATCCCTTTTTAAAAATGAACGATCATAAATCATTCATCATACAATAATAAACACATTATAATTATTAGTTAATTTTTTTTTTAATCTATTTTGATGCTTTCCTTAAAGGACACTCACTGCACCTTAAGACAATAGAATAGATTTTTGGAATTTATTTAGGCAATATATTTGTGGTGATGTGAATGTGTTTCATGTCTCAAACTGTACCTCCATCCTGGCATAATTCTCGCTTTTCTTGGCTTTAGATAGCATACTCTGATATTTATTTATTTATTTTTTTCAGGGGCGTTTTTAGATGGGACCCAACAGGGGCCAATGCCCCTCCAGAACTAGTCCTGTCCCCTGTGTTGCCCCGGAACTGCAAAATTTTTAACTTGCCAAATTTTCTTGATATAAGTGTTTATTACCATCACCGGAGCAGGTAGGTAAGAAAATTTACAGCTGGAATAAGATGATTCTTTTTTTTAAATAAGAAAAAAAAAAAGAAACTCTATAATCAAATTTTAAAAACATGTTAATTGATTATCTTGTTTTAAGTTACAAAATCTCCTTCCTTCTACAGATCATCTTAGTTAATTGATAGAATTAAGGTTAAATACACATATTTAAATGTATATTTACTTTTTTAGATCATTTTTATGGTGAAATGCTATATATATCTTTTTATGACGCTATGATGTCACACAAAAGAGACTGTTACTGATTCATCCTTTGGAGCCATTTTATATTTTGCCTCCATAATTTACTTAAACAACTATTTATAAATTACAGTCAGTCTCAAGTTTCAGCCATACAAAAGTAGGCTCACATTTTCATCTGTTGAAGATCTGCAACCTGGGCGTTGTAGTTTATTTCATGTACTAAACATTCTGCTCTTGCGCTTTTTTTTTTGTGTGTGTAACTCTTTTGTTTGTTTCCCTCATGAAAAAGTCTTTTGTGCAATAAAAAGTAAAATCCCTACAGTGAAATTTGATTCATGCTGTCAGGAAAGGAAGGATGCTCAGAGTTAATGCTGAAAGGTTTTGACCTAAATGCATTGAGATACTGGACTTATACAGGGCAGTGGTGGGGGATTTACTTCCAGCTGGTTAACAAGCTTAATATATACATTTCCTTGGAAGCTATTTAACATCTGATCATATTAAAATATTTCAACATGCTTTAATAACTAAGGCTTTTAAAATAAGCCAACAGATAAAATACAATATGTCTAAAATGAACTATAACTGTAAATCTGCTGGAACATGGGAGTTAAACATGGGTGTGTACTGTCAGCTGATCAGAGGAATGACACTGAAAACATGTCAAAACCGAGAGAAAACTAAACGTGTTAATGCAAAACACTAGAAACAGATTAGTATGGTATCAAAGCTAAACAGAGTCTATCTCTTCCTTTGCAAACTTATCTTTTAGCTGTGCAGACACGTCAAAAACCTCGAATTAAAAGATTAAACGCCAATCTTTTCCGGTTTGTGTCCTTCAAAATAAAACAAATGACTATAAATGTGGGATTTATTTTCATCTTTCAAGTGCTTACAATTTTGGTAGATATTTCTTACAGAAATAAATTATCTCGAAATCAAAATTTCTCGATTTTGGACCTACTTATTACGTTTGTTATTCATCCATTAAAGAGACGCGTTTTATTTTATATTGTAATTTCCGGCTTTCTCTGTAATGGTCGTTAGCATTGCTAAATTTATGTATCAGTTGGAACAGGAAAAGGAAAAAAAAAAAACGTTAACTCTGCGGGGTAGCAGAGCCGAACAACACGCAAACATGGTGTCAAGAGAGGTTATCTTTCTTGTCGCTCTAACTTGTGTTTGTGGACAGGTAGCCTCAGAAAGACAGCTGGTGTATGCTACAGTGGTGAGTGTTGACAAAAAAACGCAACGGAAGCTGGTGCTTTTAGCAACGATAGTCCGGGTATCACCGAATCGCCTTCAGAAT